TACATGTAAAAAGTCCTAAAATCGGCAACAAATCATCCACCTGTTCTCAGCAGCCTTTAATACGAACGAATTACGTAGGTTCTAAAATGCTTCACTTGTGATGTGTAGCGTGATTAGTAACTACCACCGAATTCCCGGGTAAGTCTGGGACACGCAGTAATTAGTATTGCGATGCGAGAAAAATGACACTGTGTTGGATTCTGCATTCGGGACATGCCACTGTTGATTTTAGGCATTTCGGGTTTTTTTCCATTAGGTCCGAAAGATTTATAGGAAAGATTTTGTGCCTCCAGTTAGCCTTCGATCTATATTATATACTCTTTTTTTTGCAGTTTTGTTTTGATAAATAAGTGGAGTTTAGTGCATGGACACATAAAATTTCAGTTTTTGATTTCAGAATTTGATTATAACATCAAGTGACGGGACTAACAAGCCGTGCTAAAATTACTGTTTTCTGAACTTTGAAAATTTTTTTTTTTGTTTATAATATCAAGTGATTATAATATGGTAAGCGACACGCCTGTCCATAATAGTTGTAGTACCACTCAGAGCTTTAAATCATAAAGATCAGCATCAGCACCCTTACTCTGCAAAACCGGAACACAGTAATGTTGACATTATTGATTGGCGGCAGAACCGTACACTGCATTACGAAATTAGTGTCATAAAATTAATTTTATTATTAAAATAAAAGTTCGTGTATTTATTGCACACAAAATATGTTAGCTGAGAGCTGGGTATAGAAAATTAAACAAAGGTGCATTTTATTCATTCATTCCATATTTTCAGGGAAACTAACAGCTAATAGTTACAATAATAACTATAGATGGCCAAAGTTTCCACAAATAAGTTAACAGTTAAAATTTTCATTAGAACTGTGCAAACACTCAGAAAAAAATTGATAAGAGATATCCTTACTTGGATTACCTAACAAGGAATAGAATAAAAAAAACGGATTACAGAGTATGCGCTTAAGTTGGTCTAAGTATTGAAAAAGTCAATATCGTGCTACTCTGTTATTTTCTGTTATGGCGCTCACTCGCTTGAATGAAGAAGAAACTTCGTCTATAATTATACTTTCGCCAAAAGAACATAAAGTATGCTAGTATGTCGAATGAAGCCACTGGACCACGAAAAACAATGTTACTGAGATGCCCAGGACAGTCCACCGAACCACTTGCTTATTACTTTTAGTAAATACAGGACATCAGCCATCCGCCTTCTTTGATGTAATGGGAGTATATGAAACGTTTGGCACCGCTTATAATAATCAGAAATGAAAGTCTAAGGGTCGTATTCTAGAACTTTACTCAATGCTCAAGTCAGGATTTGAACAGACTTGAGTATGATTTCAAGCACTGGAAATACGACCTTAATGGCAAGGACTTGAGTATGATTTTCAGTGCTCACTGCAATACTCAAGTCCTGACTTGAGTGTTGAGTACAGTTCTGGAATACGACCCTTAGTCCTAAATGGAAAAAGCATAAACGTTTCTGAATTCTCTCAATTCGCGTTTCGTATATTCTATAACAGTGATTCCATATTTGAGAAGCGTACTCTAAACGACTACGCACATATACCTAAGCATAAAAAACGTGACAATTAAAAACAGATAAGATCAAAGTTTATAAATAAAATTAATAATGCATAATTTATACACAACATATAATACATGACTAACTGTATTCTTATATAAACAACTCTTACGTTACGTTAATCGCATTGTATGATAAAGAAGAGGTAGATATTATGTATATGTACTTTTATTTATGAATGCATATTTATTTATGATAAATTTGAAGAGACTTACCAGAGTAAAGGCCCATTTAGATGGAGAGAGTTTCTCGTCTCGAAGATACGATTATCGAAAGAATATAAAAAACTTTCCTCGTCTAAACATTTGCGATTATCGACCGTCCACGTGAGCGATAATCTCCTCGCCTTTCAATATAACGTCTCCGTGTAAACAGAACTCGAAAGCAAAAATCGTATTTCGAGTTTCTGTGCCAGCCGTTTCTACCACGAGTGCAGCGCGCGAGGGTGTTTTGATTATCACTGCTTTTCTAAGACAAGAATTAATGGAACAAGAGCGAAAAAGAAATTTCAAATAATGGTGAGTGAGTGAGTGCCTCTGTGGTCGAATATAGCGTGGGCAATATAGTATTTAGGGTGCTCTCGTAACGAATATGGCACTCCTTTCTAAATCCAGGATGAAAAGTCGTGCCCGCACTTTTCAAATAATGGCAAGTTTTTGAGGTATTTGGGGGTGCTCATTACGAACATAGCATTTATTTCTAAATCCAAGATGGCCGACACGACTTTTCAAGTAAATGTACTTTTCAATAAACACTCCTCACTAACTCCCCACTCACTCCCCACTCACTCCCTACTCACTCCCTACTCACTCACTCACTCACTCACCACTCACTCACTCACTCACTCACCACTCACTCACTCACTCACTCACTCACTCACTCACTCACTCACTCACTCAC